AGTGTTGAATGCGTTTAGGTATTATTTTCCTTCCTTGATTATTGTATGACTTGATTTTATATTAATACACTACCGAGTTAATATATGATTTATGTTTGATAAAACACCTATGAAAGAGTAGTTTTCTTCGGTCAAATTTTAAAAAAGTTTACTAAATAAATTTTTATTTTTAAGATGATGATTGACTTGTTTGTTTATAATCATAAACTATGCTATTCATGAGTTTAATTTTCTTCTCTTTTCTTGAGAATTAAGTATGACTTTTTCTTTAAATTACAAAAAAAAAAAAACAACATTGCCATATTCTTTTGCTAAATCTAAGAATAAACACTATTATATTCAATGATTCTTCTTTAGAAAATGTAATAATAAATTTAAGATAATATCAAATAATTTAGTTAATTGTATTTTATAATAAATTACATTTACGACCATACAAAATATCAAAGATTTATAGTAAGTTATCTTCTGTTATAATTGTTTATAACTAAAAGGTAATCTATATTCTGATATGGATTATCCAGATTTTATGAGATATTGTCTCCGCTAATAATAAATTTTCATATTTCTTTCTTAATATTCTCCATATTATAAAATTAGTTGATAAAGATTTCATCCTTCAACCCTATATATAGGATAATGTACTTAATTTTTTTTTAATTTTCTCAAGATCATAGTCTCTAAAAAAAAAAAATATGATCAGTTTTAGCGAAACAACAGAAAAAGAAAGTGAAGACCAAAAGGATGATGGAGAAGAAATATCTCTACAATTTTTATAAGGTCGAGTCAGTAATTAACCAAAAAGTTTCTCCACAACAAGGTATTTTACGACTCATACTATTTTATTATTTCAGTTACTTTTCTATAGTATTTTATTTTTTACATGTTATTTTTTGTCTATGGCAGATCATTTGCTGCGAAAGCTAGAAAGGCATGCTAATATTTAACTCATGATATGAAGGTAATTTTTTTTTTTACAAACTTTTTTTGGTACATAAAAATTAAACTCAAAATTACATGTCTAAACCGAAAAATACATATCTTACATTACATTATATTACATTGCAGTTAAATTTGTCTTCTTGCTTTGGAACTACGAGCGCACCCTCCTATCAAGTGTCTTCTTTCTTCATCAATAACTTATTTTTGATGGTGGATAAGAAAGGTGGCGGAATTTGTCGAAGCTAGAATTCATGGCATGGAGTTTCGATT